CTACAGGAGTTGCACAAATGCTTTGAGCTGAGATAAGAGACACTGACAAGAAAATTAGAAAGCAATCCAGTCCACCTTCAGAGTCTAATTTTTGCCCCTTGGCCACCCCCAGTTCCCTGAGAGAAGCAGAAGTATCAAGAATCTCTACAGTGGATTAGACGGGAAATTTTATTCAGGTAAAATTAGCTGAAACAAATAAGTAATTTCTTTTAAACCCCAACCAGTTCTCTGAGCCAGTTTCATTAAGGAGCCACACAAATTAACAGGGGAAGGCTGAGTGAAGCAGCAAGAACAGAACCACTTCATTGTCTGACAGTGCCAAATGTAAGTGCACGCGGGATTGTGGCTTACCTGATCCTTCTCTATAAACCTTTTTCATTGTTTCCTATGGCTGTAGTAAAATTTTTTTTTAGCATATTTAAAAACGTGTTACCTTCCAGTTTTATTTGAAAGTGCTTACTGCATCTAGACATAATCATTACTTCAGTTTTGCTACATGCATCATTTTGATGGGCTTTGTTATATCAAGTGCAACTCTAAGTGAGGTGCTCACTGCTTTGTTTGTACTCACCTATCAATCATCAGGCATCACAATGAAGGCTTACAACTTACTCTACACTTTGATTAAAAAAACAGAAGGCAAAACAACAAAAAAAAGAAGCTCTGGTACACCATGTAATACATCTCTTAGTAGTGGGAACGCTGCAAGTTCAATGTATCTCTAAATTTTAGTCTGCTACATCTTTACTTAACTAAAATATTTCGTGCACATAGTTTGATCTGCATGCAAACCCACAAACAAAGCCCATCAGAATGGTTAGAATATCTTATGAACGCTAGCTTTCCCTCAGAAAATACCAATCTTTTTTTTTTTTTCTTCTTTTTTCAGATAAATATGTAGTTATATTCACATAAAGAAATTAAAATTAAAAAGGTTTCAGGCATGCATTTATTTTTAGTTCTTCTCATATACATCTACAGCCTGGTTTCCAGAGATTTCAAGCACAATTGTAACCAAAGGCTTTCAGGACTGTAAATTCATCCCAGTCACCCAAAATCAGAGAACACAGTTTTAGGCCTGATGTCTCAGTGTAATGTAATGTAAGTGGGTTGTGGCACAGGAAAGACAACTCATGTCCCTTGACTTCACCCAGCGTTATCTAACATTTAAATCAGTCCTTTATTACTATGTTCACACAACTATCTGGAATCTATGACCGCAGATAATGCTGAGACTCCAAGACAGAAACACAGCTAAAAATGGAAACAGTTCTACTACATAAACAGTCCATAAAGATGAAATACATTACATTACCAGTCTCCGAATGCAGACCTTGAAAGATATGCCAGCCAGTAGACGGTTAAGACTTTCAGCATATTGGGCCAGACTCCAAAACCCTCAACCTAGTTGGTAATTAACAGATATCTAGGTCCTCCACATGAAAGAAGTCTATTGTTTCAATGGTGACACAAATTTTTTCTTTCCTTTTCATAGCAAGTCTCTGCGCGTGTTTCAAGATTCCCTTAGGGTGATTAACAGTTTATGATGTTGGGAACTGGAATTTCTAAGTAGATTTTTTTTTTTTTTCTTCACTTTTAATTGCCAGGAATGTGAACATTCTTAGAACACAGGAAGAACAAAATCATTTAACAGGACCAGTGTCTTCCATAAGAACTGAATATTCTTTTCCTTGATTAAGTAGCCAGAAAAATTAATATCCAAAATAACTTAATACTACCTAAAAACTAATATATCTACAACAGTAACACAACTACAAAACACAGCATGGAGGGCCTGTAAATAACATGCAGTATTTAGTAAGCAATATACCTACGGAGAACACCAGTATGCATCTTCATAAATAGCAGTCAGACTTCTAGGATAAGCTGAAGGATAACCCACTGAGCATACTGTGTAAAAAAGCAATGATCTTTACAAAACTATCATCTGCTCTCTGATTTATCTTTGTCAATATATATTAGATGAATGAAAAATAACAGACTATGTATAAACCAGACTTAAACTAATCAGTGTAATGAAGGAGAACATTATCTTAAAGTTGCCTTTTGAAAGAATGAAGTATGGTTACCTACACTTACCTGTAAGGGAGTAAGTTAAATCACAAAGGATAAAAGTAGGATGTGACAGAGAAGGCGCAGGTAGAAGTATCAAACTGAGATGAAAGCACTTTAAGGAAAAAAATGTCAAGAAAACAAAAAGATAATCCAGTCAGAAAGAACAAAAAGTTACAATCATGAAACCTTTTCTGAATGTCTGTGGCTTTCACTGCTTCACTATTTTCTAAAGAGAGACTGGTGTCTCTGTACCTCACCCAAGCTTATCTGGCCAAATGAAGATATACCCAAATCCCATTGTACTCAAGATGTTAAAACCATTCCTGGAGAAGAGAGTTGAAGAAATGGTTGCTTTGGGATCAGCTTCCCACTCAAAAAACTGTTTATGGTCTGCCTACCTAAGCAACTGTTCATCTTGATTCGCTACTAGTATTACTAGAACCATATAGTACAAAAGCATAATTCACCAACTCAATAAATCATACCACTAACTTAGTTAATCCTTTCACTGTCATCTTAACAAAGATGACAAACAAAAAGTTAACAGACGTATAAGCATGTGGAATGGGCTGCCCTCACCTTTAGATGCAGTTCATCAGTCCTGGTCTAGGCTGCAGAAGCTGGTGGGCGAGTCTCAAGTTTGCACTGCTGCTAGGGGAGTGCTGTGGACACATCACTGGGATGTCTCTTCAGCACTGCTTGTGAGTATGGGAAGAACTGAGCTCACCTGCTCAACAGTAGAAATTGCTTCCTGGTTGTAGAAAGCATATCTTCCAGCTCTAGACGAAAGAGAAAACAAGGAAATTCAGTTATTTTACACAAGCGACATGTTAGTCTTTAAGAAAGACAAATTTCCCTTTTTTTGTCAAATAATATGCATATAATATCCCTATTTCTCATTTGTTCAACAAGTATGCAGTCGTGCTTCTGATTTCTATCATTCCTAGTTCCTAATTAAAAGATTCTGAGTGACGTTACTATGTTATAGTGAGTAACACAGATAACACTAGTATTGTATCTTCACATATAACTGACAGGCATCAGGCAAAAGACCTCGTCACAACAGACTGAATAACCTCCATCAGCTTGCTCAGAGCAAAGGGAACACCTTTCTTGGCATTGCGTTATATGGTTCCATTTAGTTATACTATTTTTATTGGTTTCAAGTAAAATTATGGTCAGATTTCTAGTAGTTGTATTTCAGTGCATTATAGGTGGGGGAAAAAAACCCCAAACTTGAGCTCATTTGCCGCTGATGACTGTGAAGCAAATGGAAACTATATAATCATAAAAATTGTTAGCTTCCTAAGCACACCAGGCAAGCAGTCATACAGTCATGGTGCCCAAGCAGAAATATGAATATTTAATAACATTAATTGCTTATAAGATCATCATAGAATGGCCTGGGTTGAAAAGGACTACAATGATCATCTCTTTTCAAACCCTCTGCTATGTGCAGGGTTGTCAACCACCAGACCAGGCTGCCCAGAGCCACATCCAGCCTGGCCTTGAATGCCTCCAGGGATGGGGCATCCACAATGGATGGCTATATGGGTGGCTGTACTGTCTCCACATTGCTGATTAATGCTTATCACAGTTTCAAGACATGCATGCAAACATCAGAAGCTGTTTAGGAGAATCTTATTACAGGAAGTACAACTTTATAAGGAAATCTCCTTTCAAAATAACTTGTTGTTAACACAATCATTATAACGTTTGGCTCCATATTCTTTGCATTTGATATATTCCTCACACAGCCTGTGGCACCACAGGCACTTGGTAACATTCAGCAGTCACTTGTATGCGTGTGTATATAAATAATTCAGTAAAATAAAATTACTTAGTCTGCAATCATCAGTTCTAATATTTCAGAAGGAAGGAAACTCTGTACTCAAAACAAACTGCTACAGGAAAGGAATCTCTCTTTTTAAAATGCGAAAACAAAGCCTCTGCTGAAACCACAGCCTGTTCCCTTCCCCGTGCACAGCACTTAAACCAATCTCTCAGGCCTTTTATTCCAATAGGTTGATTTTAGCCTGAGGAATCATCTTGTACTGCCACAACGCCGAAGCTCATTTAGTATTTTTGCTGAAAACTTTGAGGGCAATGTAAATGCCTGCACTGATGTGCTCCAAATCAAAATAACAGCAGTTGTTTCACAAGACACAGCAGCAAGAGTAAATGGCAGCAAGAGCAAATGACAGCAACCAGCAGTGGCGTTAAGTAACTTGGACACTTATTGAGTCTTTTAATTTATTACCTTAGCTGGAAGCAAAAGGTTAAACATCCCCTTTTAAGGGGGCTTGTTTTTATTTTTGCCACTTCCCCACAGGTGCCCAACTACAGAAGAACCCTCTCACGACCCACACCACGAGAGGCACTACATCCCCGAGCACCTCAGACCAGACTAGGTCAACACAAGGCTTTCAGACAGCCCTTCTCCGTTCACCCCACGGCCAAGATGGCGGGACCGCAGGGAACAGTGATTCCCCCAACGCGCCCGGCCCCAAACTCGCCCCGCCCACCCAAGATGGCGGACTCACCGTTTACCTCTGGGCTCTGCCACCCTGACCCCTCCTCCCGCTCCGGCGCGTTCCCATTGGCCAGCGCCGCGCGCACCGCGACCCCAGCCGCAACCAATAGCAACAAAGACACCCGCGCCATCTGCCGTGAGCGGCCCGCCTCCTCCGCGCAGCGATTCGCTCGGGCGGCCCGGCCCCTCCTTACGCGTGCGCAGAAGGTGAACCGCAAGGCAACGAAGAGAGCTCGGCGCATGCGCACAGCGGGTGCTTGGCGCCCCCCGGCGGGTGGTGGCGGGGCAGCGGCTGGCTGGGGTATCGCTGAGTGAAGTAACGCGGGCGCGCCCCCACGCGTGGTCTTCGCCCCATGTCGGCCCCGCGCGGGTGCGGGCGTTGGCGGGGCGCTCACGGCCTGGCCTGGATGCCCTCGTCCAGCTGGGGCCGGACGGGAACACCTGCATGCCGCTCCCCAGCCTAAGCAGGGATCCGCGACATGGAGGGGAACCGAAGTAAGCCTCAGCGGTATGAATGCGTGTTTTGAGCAGTCGCTAAGCAGATCCTGTGAGAAACGTTGCCGCAAAACTCGTGAGATCTCGTGAGGAGCTTCGCTTTTTTCTCCTTTCTCGCTCGAACAAATGAAATTTCCGTGCCAGAGTCGAGGAGGAGCACGTGGGAATGTCGCTGTAATTGTCTGATGCTGTGTCGTTGGTGGTCGTGGCCAGAAATCCAATATCTGCCGCGCAGCTGAGAAATGCTTTCCTTCAGTGCTCCATCGAGTCTGCTGTGAAACAGACGCAGTACACCCTGACCTAAAAAACCCACAACCTTTGGGCTTTTCCCTGTGTGTAGCTTAATTGCAGTACGGCTGCAGTAGTTAAAAAGGGCTAACAGGAGGCACAACAGAAAGTGTGGCTCACCTCACCGCAGCGTCATGTTGTAGTGATGGTAATCTGTGTGTGCTTGGAAAAAAAAAAAGCCTTCTCAATTTCTTTCACTTCAGCGTTCTTCTACTCTGTCTTGTGTTTCTGTGTAGCTTTGAAAGCAGGAGGAGCGTTTCACCACAGCGCTTTCTCTTGCAGTGCTCTCACTGATACCTCTGCTGATAACTGCCAACACACCTTTTGGTGACAAGCGTTTTTATTTCTCATCTGAACTCATACTTGTCCATTCTGCACCCCTTGCAGTGCTGCGTGGCTGTCCTGAAGAGAAGAACCGTCCCACTTCCAGAAAAGGGACAGCTGAAGGTAGTGTAATTCAGACTTATGGAGGGAACGGGGAATGTGGTGTTTGTCTGACACTGCTTGGAAGATGAAAATGGTAACTGGATGGCAGCAGTTCCATCTTATATTGTGTATAGAGTATGTGTCAGCACTATGGGTTTTTCATAGGAAGCGCCCAAGTGTTTTTCTGGGGAACTCTGGCTTAGCCTGCTTTTTTTCTTGCTCTAACTTCATTCTCTTGCGCAGTACTGAAAGATACATGATCACAAAGATAGAGGGAAAAGAAAATCTCCCAGAAGCAATAGTCTCAGCCAGCTTTAGAAGTGCTGCCACCAGCTGCTGGTCTATGCTTGGAGTCATCAGCTGGTTGAGACTGTTTTGAAGGCTCAGAAACTGAACACGTTCTGTGTCTGTTCATTCCACATCCTCCTGGCTGAGATCAACAAGAGCAGCTTTAACATTGAAGAGGAGATGAATGATGTGAACATCTGCTTCTTTGAAATTAAAATTATGCTGTGAATTTCGCAACTCTAGCTGCTGGAGTTTCAGGGCACTCAAGCATGAGAAGTGGGAGAAAGCCTTTTAAGTTGAGAGGTATGAGCAGGACAGGCAGTAGTGATGTGGTCTGTTTGCTTTTGGCCTATGCAAGGTTAGAACTGACCCAGAAATGAAAGACTGTTCTGTCACCCATCATCTGAAGTGGACCTTCCACCACTGTTAACCATATATTGAAATTAAATCAAAGCTTCTGAAAGCAGGTAACAAATAATGGCAACAGTTTTGATCTGCCACAGTGGAATTTTTTTAATGATATTTCTGAATATGTGTTTTTTAAAGAGGGATGTTACATATGCTTGTTTCCCAGTATTTTAAATCTGTGATACTGTTAGGCACAGCAAGAGGGTAGGAATGGCCCAGAGCACCAGTTGTCTCATTGACAGTGTGCTGTTCCAAGAGACTTTGTTATATGTACATACTTGCTATTGCTGTGAATACAAAAGCTTGTTAAATGTTGTTGAGTTAGTGCCAGATCAGTAATATTACAAAAAGTACTTTCCATGTTGCCTGTTTATTTTTAATAGTAAGTTTTTAACTGCTGATTATAGAAACATCTTGTGGTGTAGTGACAAAGGATTGTTATTTCCATGACCCTTTCAGGAGTAACTGTAAGCTCTGTACTGACATAGCATTACTTGGGTTCTGTTGTGCTGAGCAATAAAGTCATTCTTTGCTAAGGAAAATAAAAACAACACCTTTTTGCAGGCCTTGCAGTAGTGCTGCATCTTGTGACAGCTGGGAAGGTGTCATTGTGGCACATTTGGCAGCCATAACTTGCTGTCTGAAAGTACATTGTAAACACTGTGTGGTGATGGTGGGCTGTAGCTCTTGAAGTGGAGCGGGGGAAAAAGATTTACTGCTTCACAATTGAAGATGGGAATTGTTAACCAAAACAGAGGACGTGTTCCCTTTTCTAGCGTGGTCTGGTGACACACTGAGCTTTTTCTTTTCTTTTTGAAGTCCTTGCCAAAGATGCGCTGGTAGTGTTTTAATTGTTTTAAACAACAGGCTTAGTACCTCAAACATATATTCATGAAAGAGAGGACATGTGATAAACCATGATCTGATCAGTGGTTTAAAGAAAAAAAAAAAAAAAGTCATTAAAAATCTTCAAACAAAATGCTCTTTTAAATATTTGTAATGGAGAAAGGAGGCATTCAGGGCCAGGCTGGATGTGGCTCTGGGCAGCCTGGTTGGCAACCCTGCATGTAGCAGGGGGTTGAAACCAGATGATCATTGTAGTCCCTTTCAACCCAGGCCATTCTGTGATGTAAGAGGCATATTAGCTGCTGTACTTAATATACTTGGTGAGCAAAATTTATCAAACTGCTTTTATCTGAAAGTGTGTTCAATGTTTTATCTCTAGAATGTTTACCAAAATACTGATGGGGCAGCATGGTAGCTAAGGAAGGTTTTGGCTGTGAGCTATTCACAAATGCCTTTTCTGTGGTAACATGTTCAGTTCTTTCCATTGAAAACATTCTCCTTTGTCATTTCTGAGTTTCAGTGATGATTAGGTGCCTACGTGTGCAACCTGGTCCAGAGAGCCTGCTTTGGCATGGAGATTGGACTAGGTGATCTCTAGAGGTCCCTTCCAGTTCCTACAGTTTTATGATTTTGTGATTAATTTATGGTGAAACTTAATGAATATTTAGAGAGAGGCTTCCAGAACACCCTCTGTTGATGTACTTGAAAAATTATTTGAAGAATCATAGAATGGTTTGGGTTGGAAGGGACCTTTAAGACCATTTAGTTCCAACCTCCTGCTGTAGGCAGGGACACCCCACTCTAGACCAGGTTGCTCAAAACCCCATCCAGCTCAGCCTTGAATGCTTCATGGGAAGGGGCATCCACAGCCTCTCTGGGCAACCTGTTCCACTGTCTCACCACACTCACAGTAATGAACTTCTTCGTAATATTTAGTCTGAACCCACCCAGTTTAGGTTTAAAGCCATTTCCACGTCCTGTCATGGCATGCCCTTATAAAAAGTCCCTCCCCAGCTCTCCTGTGGGCCCCCTTCAGGTACTGGAAGACTGCTACAAGGTCCCCCCAGAGCCTTCTCCAACTCCCTCAGCCTATCCTCATAAAGGAGGTGCTCCAGCCCTGATCATCGTTGTGGCTCCCTCTGGACCTGCAGCTGGATGTCAGAGAAGCTTCATGGGCCATCAGAAGTTAGTTCATCATTACGTTGTTTCACTTTCATGCTCAGGGTTAGAAAATAGGCTCATGAAAGTTTAAGCCTACAGTAAGAAAAACGTATCTTACCTGATCTTTCAGAAGTACTAGACCCCTGCTTCCCACCAGTGTGAGTGGGGGCCTTTAAAAAGTCCAATAAGAGCTACTCATGTTTTTAGATTTCTTGGAAGCTGTGCAGACTTGTGAATGACAATTTGTATTTCAGGTGATTTGAAGGCATTTTGGACACAACTGGAAAGTAGAAGAGTGGATCTCATATTTGAGCAGGTGCAAGAAGTATTGCTGCTGCTAAAGGAGAAGATCAAGAATGGAACTGCCACAAATCAAGGTTTGAAATCCTTGTAATCATTCAGCAGGACTGTGAATGATCTGCAGTCTTATTTGACGAAAAACCGTTGTAATATTAGCAGAAAAATGTAACAGCAGTTTGTTATAAGAATGTCCCTGATTTTCATGGAACTAAATGTTCTTTATCTACATCAAAATCAGAAGATAAAGCTAGAGCAGTACACAGGTTTGGTTTTTAATTTTACTAGTGTTTTAATTTATAAAAATATTTCTTATTGTTAAATCATCCCTGTAAATCTAATCTTCACATCTTGCTGCTTCTGTGCAAGAAAATGTGCAATGGTTTAAGATGCTTTCACACTCTGTATTACAATGCTTGTTTTAAATTGGTACTGGATTTTGGGGGGGGGTAACTTGAGCTCCTTAATCTTGGTTTTATGACAAAATGAATTGCAGAGCTAAAGGTTGAATTTGAATCTCCAGGTATTGGTATGAATCTGTGCCATACTGAAACTTTTATTTTCCTTTGTTTTGTTCCAAACTAAAATACTAATGTGAATTTTACTGACGTTTGTCTGCCAACTCGTGATATTTATTGCATAGGGTTGAGACAGAACTGGTCACCTCTTCGTTGTCTTATTACCTGAAGACCACATCCAGCAATTCAGGGGTAGCATTAATTTGCTCCGACAAGATCCTGTCCTTAGCCAGAAGATGGTCAGTCTGGTGACAGAAGCAAAGAGAGAATCTTGCACTGATTCATGCTTACACAAATTGCTGCCTCTGAAAACTACTGGACTTGTGTTTAAAAGCATTCCAGCAGCTTTCTGGAAGCGAGTGGTTGTGCAGTGCTCCTTCAGTTACTGATGTGAGCTGTGACTGTGTTGCTTCTCCTAGGTGTGTCTGTTCAGGACTGTAGCAAAAAGTTAATTGCAGTGTCTGTGTTACAGTGCTCTATATCAGCACAGTGAGGAAACATGTCTGGAGTTTAGCTTTCTTTTTCCTTCTAGCAGTGATGACTATCATTGTCCCTATTACTCTATTGCAATTCAGATCTGTTTCTGTTTTGTTTTTATATAGAATGCCAGCAGGCTTGGACACTGGTAAACGAAGCTGATCTGGGTGATCTTTTAACGTTGACAAATGGTAAGTGCATCTTAATTGCATTTATTTGCTATGTAGCTTTAATTAGTCTCACCAGAAGTTTGTTTCCTGATGTTGAAATCAATAAAGTAGATGTCAGGAGCTTGTTAGCAGTGCAAGGAAAAAAAATGATTATTTCCTCTGCAGTTACTGAACTGCAGACATTCATCTGGGTTTGTACTTCTGTTGTTTGTTTGTGTGTGTGTGTGTGTGTGTGTGTGTGTGTGTGTGTGGCTTGGACCAAGTGAAGTTAGAAATTGCAGTAAGAAACACTGATAAGCCTGAGCTAAAAACCAAAGTTGGCTTGTACAGTATTCCCCTCATGGCAATACCCTGCCAGCACTTTACCTCAAATAATGAAGACAAACCTGTGTATGTTTCCAGTATCTTACCTCTGTGCAGTTTGAAAGCCTCGTGGAAGCCTTTAATAATCAAATCACGTGATGGCTGGTGAAAAAGCATAAATGTTTGCAGTGTGTTTCTGTCTCAGATTTGTGCATGTACACTTACATTTTTCTCCTCTGGGGAGAAAGAATGGTAGGGGGAGAGAGGATGGGGAGAAGTAGCAGAGAGAGAAGAGCGTGTGTGAGCTTCTCACCTATGAACCTTAATGCAAACACTTAACTCTGTATAAGTGCAAAAACATTTATTTCTAGGAGGGTGCTTGTTAGCATGCTTTGTTAACTGTAGTTCATAGCAATGCATTACCTTTATAGTGTTTTGGCAGCTATCTCTTTAGTAACTAAATTCAATTATAGATCATTGAAATGTGGACCATTGAGGTTTTGCTTATATCCCAATTTTTTCAGTAAATGATGTTCTTGATGAAGGGGATACAAAGGAACCCAAACCTAAATCACAGCATCCTGTTAGAGATGACAACAGTGGAAATTCTGTAGAGGGTTCGCACAGGTCAGTGTATTTATTTAATACTTCCAGAATGGCAAAGCTCATTACTGTACCTATCTTTACTGAATTAGAGAGTTCTTAATCTCTCTGTATTATTTATATATTCATTGATTTTAAAATCAACTTTGAGTCCTGACAATTTTCAAAGTAAATATATATATTTTTTAAATTGACCCATATGGAAAAGCTGAGGTTTTAAGCAGACTTATCTAATATACCACATGAAAGCCTTGCAGGATAGAACATCTGTTTTGTTCTGAATGAAGATCCATGATTATTAGCAGGATTAGCAGTGCTGGCACTTGAAAGTTTTAAGTTCAGTTCTCAAGCTTTCACAGACTGTGAAGATTGTTATTAGGGACATGACTTCATTTTCATAATTAGCCTTGGGAGCTGATTTGGAAGATGAAAGTATGGTTCCTTTTTTGTTGCTGTCACTTGTTTGGAATGGCACTGTGCATGTCTGCATATGGTGTCAGAGATGTTAGGTAATGCAGGCAGGCATTCAGTAAAACCCTTAGCTGCCTTCAAGCTTTCCTACGCTAATAATGCTGAGCCACTAGAAGACTGGCTGGCTTACTGATCATCTGAGATGCTGTTCTTTTCTGTCTATTTTTTTTTTTTTTTTTCATTCTCTCTTTCATTTTCATTCTCTCTCATTCATTCCTATCAGCAAAAAGGAGAAGATTGAAAAATCAGACTCAGGGAGTGAGGAAACATCGAGTGAAATTCAACGTGTACCTTTGAATCGCCGGTATCGGATCCACAAGTGCTCCAGTGCATGTCTCTCCAACAGAGCAGTGAGCTCCTACAGGGGTGAAAATCCTCTGAAGATACCAATACTGTTTCACTTTCAGAGACGCCATGCGAAAGCAGACTGCCTTTCAAAGTCACTGGATGTGCATTACAAAGCTCCCTGTGGCAGAAGTCTGAGGAGTTTTCAAGATGTTCAGAATTATTTGTTTGAGACAAAATGTGATTTCTTATTTATTGATCACTTCTCTTTCAACACATACGTCCTGTTGGGCAGGAACATTGTAAATCCAGAACCCCTCGTGTTTGATCTTGATATTAGCAATGGAGCTGAATCTGTGCCTATTTCCTTCTCTAATGACATTGATCGTGCCAGGTTACCTTATTTCAAATACCGGAGGGCATCGTGGCCTCGTGGATATTATCTCAACAATTTATCCAGCATGTTTCTTGATTCATGTGACTGCACGGATGGCTGCATTGATAGGTAAGTTGAAGAATCTAATCCCAGACAAGCGGTGCTTAATGTGTCAGTATTAGGGTGGTGTTGGAGGTGTGAAGGTGCACAATACCAAGCAGTGCCAAATGATGAAGGAACAACTCTACGTGGATGTCTGCAGTAGCTGTCTTGTGCCATGGTGTTGACTGAAACCAGTGTGTCAGTGGGTTGGAGATTCATGATCCTTGAGGTCCCTTCCAACCCTGGCCATTCTGTGGCCACAGATTCTGTGATAAATTAATTAGAGCAGAGGAAGAAATCTCCTTTTACAGTCTCTACATTCCATCCTTTCCTCAAGAAATGCTGTGAAACACTGAGGTCACGCAAGAAATTTACATTCTGGACTGTTTCAAATGGTGTTGCTCGTTGTAGTTGACTTCTAAACCCTGCTAACTCTGGACTTTGTTTAAATCTGAGAAACTGCCACAGTTAATATATGTGAGTTCAGTTTTCTGCTCACCTGAGGGGTATTTGTCTTTTACTTGGTCTTTGCCTGCAGGTATTAATCTTGGATTGAATGTATTTTGTGTAATTGATAGCTAAAGGACACGCTCATATTGCTGTGCAGTGTAACTGCCTATGACCCTGCATAGAGAATCACTGAATCACTGAGGTTGGAAAAGACCTTCAGGATCATCCAGTCCAACCATCCACCTATCACCAATAGTACTCACTAGCTTGAAATAGAATAAGATTCAGTAACTCAAATTAGTTTTAGCTGGGCAGCAGAGAACAGCGAGCACATAGCATGCTCCTTCTGTGTGTTGAACCTCACCAAGACCTGAGATGCTTTTGATGTGTAGTTTCAGGGGTTGAGATTTTGCTAATTGCAGCGAGTCTTTGGAGCAGTCATGGCTTCAGATGGTGAGGATCAGCAGTACTGCTGGAGTTCTCCAATTGGTAGTGTGGAATAATTCAATTCTTAGGGCCTGGAGTGAGAGGAAGGTGATGAAGTAGAGGCTAACAGACTGTGCCAGAACCAGGTGATTTTCTTCCCTTCCTTCAATCCATTTGACAGTGTCCTGTTGATGATTGCTGTCACACGTCAACTTTTTGTGTGTGCCTTTGCAGAGGCTGGCAGAATGGAGAACGGGGGGACATGATTTTTGTAAGCACGGATAAGCAGGCGAGAGACAAAGAGGAGGATGGGGTACCTGAAATGACTTTTTGGAGCAAAGGTGGAAAAAATGATCAAATAGTGCATTTGTGTTCGTATATAGTCAAGTACATTTTAAATTATCAAGATGTAAGCTTGATTTACTCTGCTCCAAATACATTCTGATTTTTATACAACGTGTTACTTTTATTTTCTAGGTCCAAGTGTGCATGTCTGCAGCTAACTGCAAGAGGCTGCCGTACTAAAGTTTCTCTGTCTCCTAATACTAAAACATCTCGTGGATACAGTTACAAAAGACTGGAAGGGCCTGTTCCTAGTGGGTAATAAAGACAGAGCTATTTTGTGTACTCTTTACAACTGTATTGTCTTTGAATTACTGAAACCTTGATTTTTTTGTCAGTTTTACTAATTGATAAGAATGATTTTTACAGAAATAATTGATGTGTCTGGAATAAGAGAGATGAAAAAACACTTTTGTGCTGCAGATACTACAGTTATCACATCTTAATTTGAGGCCCAAGAAGAGTAACCTGGTTTAACCAGTAACCAGTATTACCTGGTTTAGAAGCTCAGGGACTTTTACCTGGCCCTTGTACTTGCTCATTCTTGCTATCAATGGTAAGGAAACCTGCCACAAGGAAAGGAGAGCTACTGCAAGATCTATTGCAAGACCATCACAGCCAGTATCAGTCTAAGAACACACAAACAAATGTAAAAAAGCACAGGTTGAATTCTTTTAGTGTCATTTGGTTAAATCCTGAACTCCTGATAGCTGCAGTGAGGTCTTGGCAGACAGGTTGTCTTTGCAAAGTCTCTTCCAGTAGAATCAGCTGCCTCTTTAAGATTTCTGCACGTCTGACTTTCATCTGTAAAATAAAAAGGTAGCTTTTATTTTTTATCATCTTATACCAAAATCTGGCTGACAAACTCTTGAAATTGTTGAGTCAACAGTCAAGAATGTCATGAGTTTTGGAGCAGTGCTGTGCAATCAGTTTTAGCCAGGCTCTTTGTCCTTTCAGCCTTGTTTGTACTCGGGAGTGAAGTTCATACCAGCAACTTGTCTTTCCTGTGTTTTATTTTGCTTCATCTTGACAGAATTTATGAGTGTAGCGTGTCGTGCAGATGTGACAAGATGATGTGTCAGAACAGAGTTGTGCAGCATGGCATTCAAGTTCGGTTGCAAGTGTTCAACACAGAGAAGAAGGGTTGGGGCGTCCGCTGCCTGGATGATATCGACAAGGGGACGTTTGTTTGTACTTACTCAGGTAACAGAAGATGACCTGTGGAAGACTTACAGCATAACTTTTACCCCCCCCCCTCTGTCCTATGCCATGGAATTTCTTTGAGAAGCAAGCAGGGAAACTTGAAGTTGGGAAAGAAGTGAGCCTGTATGACCTGAACTTGCAGATGATCAGACAGATGGAAAAACCTTGAAGGATTCTGCAGTGTGATGGTGCTATCTGAAGCAAAGCCTGTCTCACCTACATTTTCCCTCACAAGTCTCTGCATCCTGTGCAAAGGGTAGTTTTCCTTCAGTATAGATGCAAAGTATTGTTTTCCCAAATAATTCTCTTGCCTTTAATACAAGTTTGAGCTAGGATGCTGTGTATGACCCAGCTTAATAAAGTAACAGTTAATTATATTTTTTTCTTCCAGGCAGGTTAATGAGCAGAGCTGAAGTTCAGGAGTTGGGAGGTGCTGATCAAGACTCAAAAGAGGAGAGCACTGTGAATAACAGAGAGCAAAGCTTTCTTTCCAAAAAAAGAAAACTGGACTCTAGCTGTTCAGACTCCGAGATTGAACTCGTGCACACTGGCAGAGATGATATTCTTGAGCAGCAGGAGCCACCTTGTGACAATGAAAGTGAATCAGCTCTGTAAGTTCACTGAATGTAAAACGGAATATTCTGTTATTCTAGAATGTGTTCTATAAAACATGCACTAGAATTGAGTGTTGTTTGCTGAGAGGTGTTTCTTTTACTTTTTCAACCTTTTAACTCCTGGTTGTTGGTTTTAGTGGGTTTTAGTTATTCTTATATACTGATTTTCCTCACAACGTGCATCTCTTGGCATTTGTTAGAAATCCCACTTGGCTCCTGAGTGTCTTGACCTCTTCAGGGCATGAATCATTGTGCTAACTTGAAAAGAAAGAAGCAATTAAAAACATACTTGATGACACTAGAGGATCTGATAGTAAATTAGCCACTAACTGTACTATTCTTTGCTTCCATCTCTAAACCTTTTCTTCTTTGTCCCTTAATGTGCTCTGCTAGGACTTTTAACCTTGCCAGGTAGGAGTCTGACAGTGCCTTGCTTTTACAGGTGTTGCAATACACAGAAATTGTTACCTTCATTAGGTCTCATAGCCTATCAGGATTCCTGAAATAAAACTACTGCAAAATAATAATGTGGCTTCATCAGTAGCATACTGTAGTCTCTTTCAGAAGAACACCAGGAGCTTGTTTTCTTCAATTTTCTGCCTTGCTTTGCTTACCCTTTCTTTGTAATACCTGTAAGTAATTGCAAATACTTGTTTTGTGGGGAAAGGCTATTGTAGATCTTTGAGAAGCACAATGACATCACAAACAGGAACTTTAAAACAAATACCTGCCAGTATATTCTCACGTTTTGGTATCTTGGAAACCTAACAAATTAATAATTTTGTGAATTATAGAATTGTCAGCTGTTCATTAGATGCCATTTCTAAAAGGTTCTTCCCCTATAAACTGTAGGGAAGAATATTTTTGTATTTGTGATTACTGTACAGCTACTTTCAATCTCATTCATTTCCCTTTCTGAGAATAAAAACGTTTCACATGGGAGATATATGAAAATTGAACAGAGAGAAAGAATTTGTTATTCCAACTCTTAAAAAATAAGAAATCTTTAAAGAAGATTTAAAGAAACTCTTTGCCATTATCAGTACCCCAAAGAAATATCATCATGGTTGGTTTGGTTTTTTTTTTTTCATGGAAAGAAAATCGTAGGTTTTAGGTTGAATTTTTTACTGATAAAGAGCTGTTAGTTATTGCTTGATGTTATACAGATGCTCAGATTAGGTTTAGGCTGGTATTTTCTACTGCATTCTAAACATAAGTGTGACTTTTGATGTTTTAGGGATATATACCAAACACTGCTTCCCATCCTTCTTCACACTTTCACATCAGGAAAAGGTTGAGGTTCTTCTGTGTGAGAACGTTTTCTGTATCTGCTGTTTACTGACTGTCTCACCCTCTATTCTTTCTCCCCATTTAACTTGTTTTGCTTTCCTGTTTGAAGCTACGGTGTCCAAACTATGGAAAGCAATAGCAGCAAAAAGGCAGAACTCTGTGTAGGTACTCTGTGTTGAGGTGATATAATAATCAAACAACAGCAAATTTGGTTCTCAGGAGCAGTGAAGAAGGATTTAAAACCAATTGCTGGTCTCTGTCAAAAAAAAGAAATGATAGTGTTTCATTCAAGTGCTGTTGAGAACTTAACCTCATTCTCCCATTCTTAAAAGTAGTTTGAGGTGAAAGTAGGACTACAGGCAGTGATCTGATCTTCATGAGCTAGAAACTCTTAAAGAAACCTGTGTTATGAGAGTTATTTACGTGTCTGTCTTTTGCTGTTTCCCTTTGAAATTCCTGTACAGAATTCATCCAAGGAATTTGAATACTGCAGCTGTGAGAAGGCTTGGAACTAGAATAGCTGTTGTGGATAATCACCAGCTAAAAATGGTAATATTAATAAGTGGCTTTAAAAGATTAATATTCACTATGCTGAACGTATGTGTTAATTTTGACCTCTTAATCTCAAACACATTTTAAAAATCCTAACGATCTTTCATCATGAAATTATGTGGGGAAATGGCTTTAAACTGGAAGAGGGTAGATATAGATAGATATTAGGAAGAAATTCCTTAGTGTGAGTGTGGTGAGACAATGGAACAGGTTGCCCAGAGGGGCTGTGGATGCCCCCTCCCTGGAAGCATTCAAGGCCAGGCTGGATGGGGCTGTGAGCAACCTGGTCTAGAGGGAGGTGTCCCTGCCTATAGCAGGGGGTTGGAACTAGATGATCTTAAAGGTCCCTTCCAACCCAAACCATTCTGTGATTTTATGTCACACTGTGAGCTGAGCTGGAAGCTGTATCCTGTCCTTTCTCCATTATCAGCTGTTCAACTTCTTGCTGAGAATGGCACTAGTTACTCTCACAGCCTTCCTTTTTCCAACCTCACCCTCTGCATACACTCCAGTTATGAGTCTCAATAAAGGATTCTTCCCCCTCCACCTCCTTTGTTAAATAATTGCAACATAGGGAGTCTGAATGATAATATTTTTGTGATGTCTCCCTAGAAAACGATACAGCAGGGAGAGAAGAAAATCATGGGAGCAGTAACTTCATGCAGTGGCACAGTGAAGAGAATCTTACCTGCCCCAAGTGCAAAATATGTGCAAAGGAAGGGGACTAGTGTAAACTTACTCTACAGGTTTCATTGCACATTATATTTTCATGCTAAAATTTGGCAGTTTGGTTCTACTCCAGTGCTTCCATAACTGGTTTCTTTACTGTTCATTTTATTAAAACCACATACAAAGCATATTTGGGCTTTGGTTCAACTTAACACAAAAACATTTAGACTAGTGAAATCTTTGGGCCTTAAGCACTTACATAAATATTATATTGAGTGGTGAGCTTCTTCCAAGTTGTTCCAAGGAATCATTTGAAATTAAGGTATGTGTTGCATTGCAGTAAATGTTTGGACCTTTGGAACTCAGTGTCACGGTAGGTTTGAAACTTAAACCCTGGAGTCTTAGAATCTATTTACTATCCTTTGTTGACCCAGAGTTGCACACAGCAAAAATACATCACAACCTTTTCCTTATTTTTTGTTTTATTTAAAGGAGGTTGATACTCTGGTGCACAGTGCCAGCTCAGATGAAGATAATGTTTCTCAGCCTCAGCATTCAAGCAAAACAGAACTGACCAGTGGAACAAACAAAGAAAAAGAAAGTAGGTTTGTAGAGTTACAAACACTGCACTCTTAGCATACTTGTGCCACATCATCACGGGATAGACTTAAAATGTAAACAGTGATCTTGGTGTTTGTTGCAGGCCTGTTCTCAGGATAGAATAATGATGCTTGTGGGGTGCCTAGGCTGCTCTAGCAGCTCAGCAGTACAAAAGTTATTGCTGCCCTGCATATCGCAGTGCATTAACTAACACAGGATGCTATTTTGCCGGCAAAGTCGACCTTGGGGCACATTAAACAGTTCATAAAATTGTTTCTCAACTACAGGGCAGCTGTGGGAAATACTATTTCAAAATATACACAAAATAATGTTGTGTCATACCCGCTATTTGTAGCAGTCAACAAAAAAGGATACGTGGGGAATTGCAGGGTTGGGAGCATTCAACCTTAGGAAGCAATGTGAAACTGGTATTATTTGCACATGCATCTTGCTTCTGTCTTCATTTCAGTTTGTGATTCTCTCAGAAATTAAATTAAAGTAGAGAATGAGGAAGAAAGGCTTTGTGGAAGAAATGGTTTTGGAGTGGGATTTGAGAGGAAGGGAGGGAGTGGGTCACTCATGGGAAGCATAAGCAAATGCTTTAGGCACTGCAGCAGGAGGTGTAATGATCTGCAGCACAAGTGGTGAAAGGTGTTTGGAAGGATAGCTATGACTTTGCAAATGGTAAGGAAACCATGTGCACTTTGGGGAACAAAGAAAGATGGATGGACAAGAGTTTGGGGCCAAACAAGGGCTTTGGCTTCTGTTTTAAACTAATGTTGGGAGGTAACTTGGACATCAATTGACAGGATCCATCCAGAAGCAGAAGGAAGAAGATCTGGTGGAAGTTGGACAGACGGAGCCTGCAGAAATGGGCAGTGCAGAATGCAAAAGGAAGAGTCTGTCTCTGAAGGCTGTTGCCTGTGGCAGATTGGATGTGCTGAATGATAAATGCGTTGTGAAGCCATCCACACCACAGAAAGCTAACTGCAAAGAGGAAGCTCACAGACAGTCAAAACAAGGCATATTTTGTGTGGATGCAGACGGTGACAGGACGTTTCTGAAGAATGCTAATGATGAAAATATCTATGTACTAGATGCCACAAAAGAAGGAAATGTGGGTCGTTTTCTTAATGTAAGTAAAAACTTGCACGTGTTCTTTTACTCACTTTAGCTTAAATGAGTAATGTGTTTTCATGAGCCAGAAAGGTTTTTCAAAAGTCTGTTCTGTCATAACCCAAATACGTGGTTGGGTGTGTGTGTGTGAAGGCAGTGTGGTGCTCCCTTCACTCTGAAGTGACAGGACAGCAGATTGGCTCGTGCCAGCTTTGAGGGCTTACATAAGATGCGTGGCCTGTAGGTTTTGGCAACACTGGGTTACAGAGTGAAATGTTCCCAAGTAATGAGTGACACTTCTTTCCTCTATTTTAGAATATGATTTTGGGAGTGTGGGGTATCTAGAGATCAAATTATGCATTGTACTGAGCCACAACCCTTCTCCCAGCTTCGCTTTTTATTTCCAAGCCATTGTAAGTTCTGGCTTATGCTGGTTTAAAGTAAGTGCTGTGATATTGTAGGAAATTCTTGAATAGGACTGAGCTGTAGAAAAAAGTCATACTGTGAGATACCTGGTTAGTAAGTCTCTCAGCTTCAACTTAACCAGAGATAGCAGTGATTTCCAGAGACCTTCCAACTAAGATGAATGCTTCACACACACCTGTATGCACTCAACAAGTAACTTATTTCTCTCTGATGGCATGGATATGTGTCCTACTGCAAAATCCCTGCATATATGTAAGTGTTACCTCCTTGCAGAGGTAGTATGGGGGTAAGAGTAGCAGTGCATCTTGCTGAAGCCTTCCTTCATCCGTGACCATGCACGTGTCCCTATTGCTTGCTCCACTGCCATTGAGATGCATGTCATCTAGTGATAATTTGTGCCTCATCGTAAATCAAAGATGATTTCTCACCATAAATCACTGGAGAACAGCTTGACTAAAAAGGCTTTGATTTTCCTAAGAGAGGGTACTTTCATAGTATGATGGAGACATGGCTAAACAAAACCAGTGGCAGTGCATTAAGTAACAGCAATTGTGTTGACTGGAGGAGGGGAGGAAGGAATTTCTTGTAGCAGTGACACACCTGGCACAAAATAGAATCTTTAGTGCAGGACCAGGTTTCTCATTCATGTATTTTGTTTCACAGCACAGCTGCTGCCCCAATCTCTTTGCACAGAGTGTGTTTGTGGAGACTCACAACAGAAGTTTCCCATGGGTTGCTTTCTTCACAAACAGGTGAATTTTTCAGAATTTCAATGTTTGTTCAAGGCACGAGGGAAGAAAATAATGCTGAATTATGAAGGAAAAGTTATGCTAAGAGTGCAGCTGTTTACCCACATGAAACCATAAAACTGACTGCTTGCGAGTGGCTTTTCATTGTGCACTGAAGACTGAAGTAAAAAATCTGCTTGTCGCTAAAAGTTTTTTATTTAGTTTGCACTGAAATGTGATGTAGGGTAGCTTGGTTTTGGTGCATCCATTTTGGTTATCATTAAAGCTAGTATTTCCACTGAAGAGTAGGCTTAACTCAGCGTGGTCATTTTAAAAGCCGTGGTTGACTGGTCTGAGTGTTGTGTCCCAAAGAGTGGCCAGCAGAGCTGTGGCCTTTAGGGCAGAGTTGGAGCCTACAGAATCTTAAATTTCATACATTTTCTCTGTGGGCACCAAGCTGACTCCAAACCTTTTCTTCACAGCTGCCAAGATTAGCAAGGTTCTGCATAGTCAGACTTGTCTTGGGAATGTGGCAATAGGGTTCTAGAGTGGAAACTTCCTCTGAAAGCAAAAGGTGTGGTGATCTCCTACCAGATGTCAACAAGGGGAGATGCAGATTGCAGGTGCCAGCGAGACAAAAGAAGGCCACAACCAAACCCAGGAAGGAAAATATGAGCTATAGGAAGTTAGTTATGCAGAAGAAAGGATTTATTTTAGACAAACCCTCTGCCTGAGGTACACAGATACTCTGTGGAGCCTTGCAGCCGTAGGCCCAGCCCTTGATCCTGTGCTGATGCATGCTGTGGATTGTTCTGTAGGGGTTTATGAGAGCTCTGAAGACAGTAGTTTGAAACAAGATTTTATTTTAGCTGGAATCTTCCTTCTTCAGGTAGTCAGTAAATAACTGTGTAAGGGGGATTGAGGCCAAAGGGCAGAGGCAGCAGTGGTCAGCAGAAGGCAGTTAAGGGGGACAGTTGAAGAAATGTTCCCCTGGCTTGTCCTGTTGCTTTGTCAGTCACCCCTTTGCAACTTTTCTACCTTAAGGACAGCATTTGAATCATTGAACTTCATTTTATATATTCTGTAAACTTACCCAGCCACAATTTAAATTATTTGATATTTCTGGCTTCCAGAACATCCTGAGGCAAAAAGTCTCGTATTACAATTATGCTCTGCTTGATAAGTTCTCATTTGCTTTATTTTCAGCCTGCTGCCTGATAATTCACTGGGTATTTCATATCTTACCCTGTGAGAAGTATCACACAATTACTCTTCTTTACAGTACAAGTATTTTATCGTATTTTCCCTTGGTTGTACCTCAGCGCCTTGGTCTCTATTTAATTTGGCATTCATTATGAACAGTCAGTTTCCTGCATAAGAAATTACTTCTCTTTCACATACTTGTCACAGCAACTGGTTCTTGAAGATCTTGTGTTTAACTTCAAGTCCTGGGCTTTGTGCACGTGTGCAGTGCAGTTGCACTAAAAGCTTGCTTGTTAGACCGCAGCTGGTAACCTTCATCACCACTGCACCTATGGAACTGTTTGAACCCCAGTGATTTGCTGTGCATAGTAAAAAGAGCAAAGCTGCCCATGCTCTCATTTAGATGTATTCATGTATCTGGTTCTTTCCTTTTTCTTTGGTTTATTTTTTTTCCCAAAAATTCACCTGGAAGTTAGAATGGGTTGTTTAGAACCTGACTCTATCAGGCTGCTTGACAAAACCTTAATTGCTAGGTGCAGGTATTTGCACTCCTCGTGGTTCTAGTAGGGAAGTCAGCATTCCTTATATCTCTTGGTGCCACTCCTTATATCTCTTGGTTCAATCTGAGCAGGCTGCCTGTGCAATGCTTTTGCCTCCATATGCGTTTGGATTTTGCTTGTGAGTTGCTGGTGACAAATTGTAAGCACATCACTGTTTCACTTAAATAAATTGACCAGATGTTTTATTTCTTAGGCATGTGAAAGCTGGAACTGAACTCACGTGGGATTATGGATATGAAGTTGGAAGTATGCCAGAGACAGAGATTTCCTGTTGGTGTGGAGTTCAGAAATGCAGGAAGAAAACCTTATAGAGCAAGCTTTTCTACTGTCAGCACCTCGTGTACATAGAGATTTATGTGCTGTAAGGGACTGGATACTGAGCAGTACAGTTAAATCTGTGGTGCTAATTACACTGAACAAAAATGCCTTTTATCTGATAACTTTTTTAAATTTACATTTAAATGTCATTTTTATAGTTTACACGGATAAAGCTGGTTGTCACACAGACAGGCATCAAACTTGTCCTATGTGATATTTTCTGTGCTCCTAAGCTTTCTCCCCACCTCCTCCCCTACATCCCTTCCCCGCTCACCTTTCATTTACAAGCTGGAAGAAATCATGCTTTTCTGCAGTTTGCAACAGAAATATGATGGATGTGCACAGCAATGGTTGATTGATGTTTTCTGTGCTCTCCTACAGTGATGAATTAGCATAACTCAGTTTCCCGAAACTCATATGAATGCAAGTCTGTCTGAGTGCTGAGAATTATTTTAAATATACCTAAATCCAATGGATCTGGTGGGACAGTTTGTCTTGAGTAGTAATGAGATTAATCAGAACTTCAGCAAAGTAGTGACGTGCTACAGGGTGAGCTGGGAAAGTCCTGCTGTAAGTGAGAGAAGTAATTACATCTTCCTCCATGCTTGTGACAGAAATTGCTCAGAGAGGTGGTGGATGCCCCATCCCTGGAGACAATTCAAAGTTGGGCTGGATGGGGCTCTGAGCACCTGATGGAGCTGTAGGTGTCCCTGCTCATTGCAGAATTGGACCAGATGGCCTGTGGGTGTCCCTTCCCACTCAAATCATTCTTTGATTCTGTGAAATCCTTCAAGATCTGCTGTGCCTCATTTCAGTGCTGTGTCTATAGTGTGTCAGAGGTGAGACACAGAAATCCTTGCTGTGTTGGTAGGAAAGAAACGATCTACATTTGATGACACTGTGTGCAGATTCAGGAAGAGGCTGTAAAATTGGTAGATCATCGAATCATTTGACTTGGAAAAGATCTTCAAGATCATCAGTTCTGTCAGCCTAACCTACTGTGTCCTGTCTCTAAACCATGTCCCTAAATGCCATGTCCATGACAACTGCAGGGATGGAGACTCCACCACCTCTCTGGGCAGCACATTCCATGGCTTAACTGCCCCCTCCATGGAGAAATTCTTCCAGATGTCCAATACAAACCTCCCTTGGCACAACTTGAAGCCATTTCCTCATGTCCCATCACTTGTCATCTGAGAAAAGAGGCCAGCACTCTTCTCTCTGCAACCTGCTTTCAAATAGCCGTAGGGAGCAGTGAGGACTCCCCTCTGTGCCCTCATCTCCAGCTTGCACAACTGCAATTACTTCAGCCATTCCTCAGGGCTTCATTGCTTTCCTCTGCACACACTTGAACAGCTCTCCATTCTTTCAGAGAGAGGCCTAAAACTGAACGCTGTGCTTGAAGTGTGGTCTCACTGATGTATACAGGAAGCAGCCCTAGACGGTTAGTAACGGGACCCCAGAAGATGGGAGATTTTTTTTGTTATTACATAATTTTTAGCACTATTTTCCATGTGTTGATTTCATGTAGGTCAAGTATGGGCTGTGTAAGTGACAAGTGCAGTATTGACGCTGCTTCTCTCACCTGCTGCACAAGCTCTGTTGGTTTGAAACATGTGTGATATATGGTACATGAATCATAGAATGGCTTGGGTTGGAAGGGACCTCAAGGACCATGAAGCTCCAATGCCCCCACCACATACAGGTCCACCAACCTCCACATTTAATACCAGACCAGGCTGCCCAGGGCCCCATCCAACCTGGCCTTCAACACCTCCAGGGACGGGGCATCCACAGCCTCTCTGGGCAGCCTGTGCCAGCACCTCACCACTCTCACAGTACAGAACTTCCCCCTGACATCCAACCTCAGTCTTCCCTCCCTCAACCTAAAACCATTTCCCCTTGTCCTGCTGCTATCTACCCTTTCAAAGAGTTGATTCCCCTCCTGTTTGTAGGCTCCCTTTAGGTACTGGAAGGCTGCAATGAAGTCACCCCTTCTCTTCAGAGTAAACAAGCCCAGCTCCCTCAGCCTCTGTGAACTTGTGCCACTTGGCAAATAAAATGCAGTGATTGCTGATGATAATATTTCAGCCTGCCTACTGGTGTGTGTGCCTGTGAAGGGATGTGCTTTTTATTACTAAGCAGATACACACGTTTTCTTCTTTAATAATTAAGCTTGGGCTTCCTTTGTAAAACAACTTATGAAATGAACTTGTTCACTGCAGAAGAAATATCCGGAATACTTGTGCAGTGCTGACAAATGTTTTAATTTTCACTGTCTCGGAAAGCTTACACAAAGTATAAAATAATTTGCAGTGTGTTTTTCCTATGGATTTGACTGCTCATTTAAATGAGTTAAATGTGTTTTCAAGGTGTAAATCAGCTTACGTGTACTATGTTTCAAACCATAAGAGCATTGAAAATGAGACATAAATTATGGCAAGCTCAAGTCATGGCAAATAATTGTATGTATTTTGATACACTGGCTGAACACAGTCCTGTGAGTAACAAAAAATAGGCAGCCATGCTTTCAGCAGGGATTTCAGGCCTACATCTACGCTACAAACTGCAAGAGAAGCAGGAGCCAGCTCTTGGCCCTAAGGCCCAGAGGCGAGAGGACTGGCTTGTGTCCATACAGCTTAGGATTTGTCTTCCTCTAGTTGGATTTGATGAAGTTCTGTGTAACTGTGGACAAACATAGAGCCTGTGCCCCTAAGCTGTTGTTTTTTGGGTTTATTTTGGATACTTCGAACTTCACATTTGAATTTGTGCTGCTGTATTAAAGATTTACAGCCTGCTGGTAAGTCAGCACTGCTAGAAGCCTTTTAAACAAGTGAGGACATAGAAAACACCTTCATGTCTCCAAGCTCACCTTGAATGTGGAAAAACAGATGGAAATGTCATTAAAAATCAAGGTGAAAAAAGAAGTCTGTTTTACCATTCTTAATTTTCTTTCCTGGCTCAGTGGTAGGAATTATAGTGCGGGACTGGTGTGCAAAAGCTGTTCCTTGCTGCAGAAAATACATGGTCTGTGTCTATTTAGGAGCCTGCCATCAGTGTGAATGTTACACCAGGTAGCAGCATGGCATGGGGCTCTTGGGTTAGTTGCTTGTTCTCACACTGCTCCATTTCTGTGTTTCATAGAATCACAGAATGGCCTGGGTTGAAAAGGCCCACACTGATCATCCAGTTTCAGCCCCCTGTTATGTGCAGGGTCACCAACCAGCAGACCAGGCTGCCCAGAGCCACATCCAGCCTGGCCTTGAATGCCTCCAGGGATGGGTGTTCGTGACCATGGCTGTCAGCATCACCAGCACTTCAGCAGAGTTACTGCATAAAAACTTAAGTACTAAAGAAAGCAGAGGTGGAAGTGGCCGAGCCTGCAGAGCTCAGGAGCAGACGTGTAGGGATCCTTGACTGCCTGTCATGGATATGAAGGAGTGCTGACAGAACCAGCAGGAGGTTCCTGAGGTGGTGCTCTGCTCAGTACAGTGCTGGCACTGCCTGTGGGGACTGAGGCTGTCCTGGTGAAGGGCTGGCAGTTGTGTGGCCCTGTGGTCTATGGGGAAAGGGTGTTAGCGCCCACTGTGCACGGCTCAGTGTAATGTTTGTACAGCGTGTGGTCCTAAATCAACTCTTTGAAAGGGTGGATAACAGCAGGACAAAGGGAATTGGTTTTAACTTGAGGGAGGGAAGATTGAGGTTGGATGTCAGGGGCAAGCTCTGTACTGTGGGAGTGGTGAGGTGCTGGCACAGGCTGCCCAGAGAGGTTGTGGATGCCCCATCCCTGGAGGTGTTCAAGGCCAGGTTGGATGGGGCCCTGGGCGGCCTGGTCTGGTATTAAATGTGGAGGTTGGTGGTCCTGCATGTGGCAGGGGGTTGGAGCTTCATGATCCTTGAGGTCCCTTCCAACCCAAGCCATTCTGTGATTCTCTGTGATTCTGCAGCCGGCGGTTCGGGTTCGAGCCCCGAGCGGGATTCGAACCCCCGACCCCAGCTCTACCGCACCTAAAGGCGCGGGGATGGGCCGAGAGCCGCTCCTTTACCACGCGACCCTCCCGCCTCCAATCCCCGCCCGCTTCCGTACAGCAGCCAATCGGCCGCTCGAAGCCCCATCCCGTCGCCCCGGGCTGTTACTGAGCATGCTTCGCTGTGCGCCGGATCCCGCCCGCTTCTGCGCGCTCCTCCCCCGCGTGGAATCGCGGCGCCGTGCAGGCCGGGCCCGGGAGTGGCGGTGGACGGGAGCGGGCGGCCCGCGGTAAGTAGCGGCGCTGCGGCTCGGTCCGCGCCTTTCCGCCGGTCCCGCCGCACCGTAGGCACGGCAGCGCGTGGAACGACGGTGTTAGGGAGTGGCTGAGGGCTTCCGGCGCTGCGAGGCCGAGCGCCTCGGGAGCGGGGGAGAGTCGGGAGCCGCTGAGGAGCCCTGCGGTTATCCCGTAACGTGGAACGGCTGTGAGAAGGGGCGGATCCGCCAGGCCGTCCATCTGCTTCAAAAAATAGTGGAAACGTTTCCTGTGTGTAAGCAGAGGGTGGGTTTGTTGTGGAAGCCTTGCGATGGGCAGCTGTGTTTGTGCTGCTGATGGCGCGGCGCAGGGCTGAGAGGAGCGCAGCGCTGTGCTGTGCTGCTGCTCTCATTGAGGGAGCTGCGCTTGTTCAGCTGGAGGAAAGGAGGCTGCGGGGTGACCTCGCTGCAGCTTTCCAGTACCTAAAGGGAGCCTGCAGACAGGAGGGGAATCAACTCTTGACAAGGGTTGATAGCAGCAGGACAAGGGGAAATGGTTTTAAGTTGAGGAAGGGAAGATTGAGGTTGGATGTCAGGGGGAAGTTCTGTACTGTGAGAGTGCTGAGGTGCTGGCACAGGCTGCCCAGAGAGGTTGTAGATGCCCCGTCCCTGGAGGTGTTGAAGGCCAGGTTGGATGGGCCGTGGGCAGCCTGGTCCAGTGCTAAACGTGGAGGTTGGTGGCCCTGTCTGTGGCAGGGGATTGGAGATTCGTGATCCTTGAGGTCCCTTCCAACCCAAGCCATTCTGTGATTTCCCACAAAGAACGGGTATGTGGTGACTTCTTTCTGTTCCTTGCATTGGCAGTGCAATTCCACGTGCCTGATTTGAGCAGTGAGGATACTGGGATCAGGCAGCTCCTTGGATTCTCCTTACCCTGCCATGTGTGTGCTGGGGGCTTTTAGTGCCTCTTGTTCTGCACAGCAAAAATGTGCTTTATCTCCCTGCACAGGTGCTCCCAGAGCTGCTTCTAGAAAGGAGAAAGTTGGACCTATGAGTAATATTTCAAGGAAATACACCGTGGAATTGCACAATCACTGTGCACTGAGAAATGCTTTCATCCTCTTTTACTTTCGTTTACTGCTTTCTTCCATTTTGCTGCTGTTGCAACCACTGATAGGCAACACTGATGCAAAACAGCGCAAGGACCAAGCAGAGCAGTAGCAGGGGCACACAGCTGATTCATTCCCTTGGCTGCTTTCCCTCTATCTTCTGTTTCACAGCTTTATCATCTCTCCCATTAGTGGAGAAAGAGCCTTCAGCTCCTGGAGATGACGTTCACCTTAGGTTCTGAGGTAGCAAAGGTGAAAGTCATCTCTCAAAAGCCACAAAAGAAGTTTGCGACGAGTTGTTTTGCTATGAAATCAAGGGTGAGAAAATCAAGCATTGGAAAGTGGTGCGTGGTCAGAACAGCAGTCCTAACACTGATGCCACTCATGCTGCCTGCTGCATCTTAGGGAAGGAACCAAGGGACTGCAACAGTTGGTTCTGTCAGTGTGCTTGTAAGCAATCAAAAATGTGTTTGGGATATTATGAATTCCTAAGGGGAAAATAAAAAGAAAGAATAGAGTGCTACTGTGCCTTTTTACCTCACTGTTTTGAAGGTTATTTTCTTCCTACAGGCTTGGGGAAGAGAGACTGAAGGAACTGGGGCTGTTTAGTCTGGGGAAGATGAGGCTGAGGGGAAAACCTTATTGCTCTCTTCCAATATCTGAAAGGTGCTTACAGTGAGAGTGGGGCTGGTCTGTTTTCACTGGTGACAGGTGACAGGACGATGGGAAGTGGCCTCAAGTTGCACCAGGGTAAGTTTAGGTTGGATATCAGGAAACACTTCTTTACAGAAAGGGCTGTTAAGCACTGGAACAGGCTCCCCAAGGAGGTGGTTGTGTCTCCATCCCTGGATGTGTTTGAAATCCGTTTGGATGTGGTGCTCAGGGACATGATTTAGCAGAGGGTTGTTAGAGTTAGGGTAGGATGGTCAGGTCATGATTGGACTTGAGGTCTTCAGGTTGTGGTTGGACTTGTGGTTTGGACTTGATGATCTTTGAGGTCTTTTCCAACGTCAGCAGTTCTATGATTGTAGAAGAGAAGGGAGGTGGAAGTGACAGAGACGATCAAAGATGCAGAACAGCTTCTGTGGAAGGATTCTTCAACTTGAAAAGGGGGCAGCAGGAGAAAGAATGAGAGATCTGTGGTGTTGTGGGCCTTACTGCAGAGATGATGGTTTCTTGCTCCCTCACACAGAACACTTGAGGTGTAGTGAAACCAGTGGTTGTTCAGGCAAAATATAATTAAACTGGAACTGAATTATGCCCTTAGCCTTTCCCTTCTTGCTTAAGAGCAGTTAGCTGGGTCTGCTGTTCCATGTAGCTCTGTGTCCTATTCCTGACAGCAGTCTGTAGCAGAGACCTAAGGAAGAGCATAGGGCCAAAGCAAAGCTGCTGTTGGTGGTGGGATGGTGAGTTAAGTGGGGCACTGGATGCAGGCTCGCTGCTTTTGCAGTGAGGATTGGCTGAGAGCTGGCCTTGCATTGCTTCAGAGTGCCTGTGAAGGCACTGGAAATACAAAGGCTGACCTTACCAAATATCTTTGGTTATCTTTCAGCACCAGGATTCCTCCTCAGAGCCTGTAAGGACAGCTGGGACTGCAGCCTCCAACTTCAGCGTCTTGCCAAATTCCCAGGGCACCCAGAGACACCTCATCCAACTGGGAGGACCAGGGCCTATGCATCTGCAGCGATTTCAGGTGTTAACTTGCTGTGAGAACTCTTCCCAACCATTCAAACACCATAAACATGCTTTTTAGTTTCCTTTCGCCGTTGTTTCTGTTCTGCTTCTAATTTTTCCATGGATTTCCATTTGTTTCTGTTGTCTGTTTATCTATTGCCTAAGTTTTAAGGCTGTTGTGATGATTACTGTATAGTGTAATATAGATATTACACTATAATAATATAACTACATAATATCTATGTAAAATAGATAGTGTAAGTCTGTCTCCATCCTACCTTGCTTACAAGGTACAGAAAGGTGCTGGGGGGAACAAGAAATCAGGTATGCATGGAGGCTGAGTGACTTGCCCGTCATTAAGTAAAGTAGCAGAGCCAGAGGTGAAAAAAGAAATCCCCTTATGCTCTGGTGTCCTCATTGGAGACCTCCCCTTTCATAAAATAGACGGGATATGGAACTAATTGAGGCAGGAGCTGACTGCTGAAAGAGAGAAATATGTGCCCGATTTGCTGGGCTGTGAGATTTCCTTATCTTGTACTTCTGTTGCTGGAATTCTTCAAATCCTTTTTCTTAAAAATAACACCAGGCTGTTCTCACCCTTATTCTACAGAGCTCAGGGCTGTCGGCGGCGACGTCTCAGACATTTGGTGCATCTCACCTCATGGGAGTGGGAAACTGAAGATTTCTGCTGTGGACTTGAAGGGAAAACCACGAAGTAAGACTGGAATGCATGGAGTGGTGCTGTAAATAACTTGGAGGGGGGGAAGACTGTTCTGTGAAGTAAGTAAGTGGCTTGTTTTGTCCCAGTCTTCCTGTTCCAGGTGCTCTCCAGACGATGGCCAAAATGGTGAGAAGGACGTGTGCCTTCTGTTCGGAAGGGGAGGCTGCTTCTATAATGTACGTTGCCAAAGAGCAAAATATTGCAGCTCATCAGAGTTGTTTGGTGAGTGGTTTTCAGCTGGGCAGTGCCTAAGGAGAGTGGAGAAGCACTAAAGGGGAAACTTCTACCACTTGTCCATTCTTATTATAATTCTTTTTAACTTTACAATGAACTCTGTCCTTTCTTTCTTTCAGTTGAAATAGGAAATATTCTCCAAGTTTATGATGTCCTGCACAAAGGTGTGCTTCAAAAATAGCAGTAAAGATGAGTGCATCACTAGTCAGTCAAGAAGGGGCAATGGAAAATAGCTAGATCTGTGGTAAAACACATCTGTAAGAATTTTGGGGAGGAGGAGAGCACGATTGCAGCAGTTTGGCACATTGCTCTTTGGTGTTTTCACATCTCTGTTCCTGGTCAGTGAGTGCATGCATGTCCTGGTCAGTTATAGATACATGCAGTCTGGCAGTAGAAATTCAGTCTTCTTGAGACACTGAATTGAGTGAACCATGTAAAAATATCTGTTAAGCTCTGAGTGATCTGGGAACATTGTTGCTTTCTTGGCTGTCAAAATGCCTCTCTTTCATGCTGGTGTCTTGATGCAGATGGTTCTTGGTGTGCAGAATCAGTTGCAGATGTCATATTCTCCCATAAGTGAGAGCTCCTTACTGCAGGAAGTGTGTCGGCTCCTGGAACTGCCTTCTGGCTTTCACTACTCCTGCCTTACTTTTCTACTAATTTTTCCACAACGTTTCAAAAACATAATTAAGTGTTGGATGCTTGGTTTGAAATCGATTTTAGGGCTGTAAATGTTGTGTGAATGATTTTTTTATTTATTTTTCTTTACCTCTAAGCAGCAGTGTGCGCCTGCAGCCCGGAAGGCCAACTGTGTTCTGGGCTGCATTAACAAATGCTGGGGTGACCAGCAGGGAGAGGGAGGTGCTTGTCCCCCTCTATTCGGCTCTTGTGAGGCCCCATCTGCAGCACTGCGTCCAGGCCTGGGGCCCCCAGTACAGGAAGGACGTGGAGCTCTTGGAGTGGGTCCAGAGGAGGGCACTGAAATGATCAGAGAGCTGGAGCACCTCTCCTGTGAGGAAAGGCTGAGGGAACTGGGCTTGTTTAGCTTGGAGAAGAGAAGGCTCCGGGGAGACCTCATTGTGGCCTTCCAGTACTTGAAGGGAGCATATAAACAGGAGAGGGAATGGCTGTTTATGAGGGTGGACAGTGATAGGACAAGGGGGAATGGTTTTAAACTGAGACAGGGGAGGTTTAGGTTAGATATCAGGAGGCAGTTTTTCACTCAGAGGGTGGTGACGCACTGGAACAGGTTGCCCAAGGAGGTTGTGGATGCCCCATCCCTGGAGGCATTCAAGGCCAGGCTGGATGTGGCTCTGGGCAGCCTGGTCTGGTGGTTGGTGACCCTGCACGTAGCAGGGGGTTGAAACTGGATGAGCATTGTGGTCCTTTTCAACCCAGGCCATTCTGTGATTCTGATGACTTTGTAAATGTGTCTGCCTTTGGAAGAGTGTGCTGCTTGGCTGCTTTTTGGCTTGAACAACTGGTCAGATAAGATGGTCAAGGTGTGGAAGTCTGTCAGCCATACAGTTTCTCCTCCTTACTCTGGGCATTGGACTTCATTCATGCTTCTTATGGAGTTCACTTTCTCACCTCTCAGCCTGTTCTTGGTTCATCTTTAAGTTATGTCAGATCGTGTATGTGCAAGAGGATCAGATGTATGAAATCAATGATAAAAGAGAGGGACATTCTATACATTGATGACTAACTGACTCTGTTAATTCTTGCCATTGTTTCTTTGTTTCTAGTTATTTTCCTCTGGATTTGTGGAATCTGAAGAGTATAACCCAGAAAATCTAGATTTAAGGTTTGATGTGGAATCCGTGCTGAATGAATTCAAGAGAGGAAAGCGACTGGTAAGGCAGTTTCTGAATCTGCACTCAGTCCTGTCTGAAAGCACTGCAGGGTGGTAGGGTGCACACTGAGGTTGTGTGGTCAGCTATGACTTGGGAGAAGAAATTAAAGAAGGCCTTGGTCCTCCTGACCTACTAAGATTGGAGAAATTACAGATTTAGAATTAAAAACATCAATTTGATATCGTACTTATTGAAATTCCATTGTTATTTTTCTTAGTAATTGGTATTTGTTGGGTTTTCTGGTCTTTTTTTCCTAAGAGGAAAATCTAAGAGACTTCCTTGAGAGCCTTTGAAATACCAACCCAGTGCCTGCAACAAAATTATGCAACCCCATAAGGATAAAGGGAAACACCTTTTCTTTTTAGCAGGAGGGTGATTTACGTGAGATCTTCTTACTTGTTTTGTTTTCAGCTCTTCTTCTCTCTTCTTGGATGGAACTCATTTCTTTATGAAGTTAGTGTAAAAAACATAAATGCAACGAATAAGCACAGAAATAGGTTGGGCAAGATTTGGAGCGAGGTGGGGAGGGAAGCTGTCCATGTCTCATGTAGCTCTTTTTGTACTGCTTAAAGGGTGAAATGATGCAGCTGAGGCAAAATAGCAGAGAGGAGTGAAACATTGAGCAGGGTGAGAGTTTGGCATTGTGAGCTGGCTGCGTTACACAGAGCTCTAAGTATCACAGTGAAAGATTGGATTTTCCCAAAGAGGATGATGTTTGTTTCCTAAGTTAGGTTTCATTTTGTTGTAGGTGTGCAATTTCTGTCGCAAGAAAGGAGCCACAGTGGGATGTGAGGAGAGAGCCTGCCGCAGGAGCTACCACTACTTCTGTGCCTTGTGTGATGATGCAGCCACAGAAACAGATGAAGTAAATGGAGTCTACCGGTATTTAACAGTCTTTTCTGGTGTAGGATGGTCCAGGTTGTGGTGCTGTTTGTCAAATGTGTGGTTGGGTTTGATGGTTTTCTGAGCTGGTGCTGTAGAGATTTGGGAAAAGGACTCAGAAACACCTCTTGTGAGTCTGTTTGCCTGTCCTGCATGGAGCAAAGCTATAGCAAAGCTGTACTGAAGAGGTGCAAGAGGGCTGAATGAGAAAGAAGTGGTAAGGCATGTTTTAGGAATTTGATGGCAAAGACTTTTGGACTGACTGGATCAGTGGCATAAGAGGAGGGGGATATTTGTAGCTGCTGTGAAATTACTGGAGAGAAGAATGAGACTTGAAAACCTATGGCCATGGATCGACAGCCTTCCTCATGGTGAAATACACTGAAAAGTGAACCAGCGAGAGAATCCCTTTGGAGAGGGGAGAACTGGTGTTTTAAATCCTGAATTGCCACTGTTGAGATGATGAGCAGAGATTATTGAAGCAAACAGAGCAGAATAGAGAAGGCACACGGTGCTTTGTTAAAGGTTAGTAACAGTATGGGTGGGGGTGTAAGCATAATGCATGGTGCCAGTGATGGTAGGGTAGCCTGGGTAGTAAAATGCTGTGTGTGCATTATAAGAAGTCCTTGTGCTTATGAAGGCTGCTTTTCACTGGGAAAGAATAGATTTAAAAGTGTGAGGGGAGTTAAAAGCCACAACTGAAGGGCGGTGTTGGAAATTCAGGCACATTGGAGCAGTTCTCCTGTGAAGAAAGATTGAGGGAACCTTTGATGAAGAGAAGGTTCCAGGGAGACCTCACAGGCCTTCCAGTACTTGAAGGGAGCGTATAAACAAGAGGGAGAATGGCTGTTTATGAGGGTGGATTGTGATAGGACAAGGGGGAATGGTTTTAAACTGAGGCAGGGGAGGTTTAGGTTAGATATTAGGAGGAAATTTTCCACCCAGAGGGTGGTGATGCACTGGAACAGGTTGCCCAAGGAGGTTGTGGATGCCCCATCCCTGGAGGCTTTCAAGGCCAGGCTGGATGTGGCTCTGGGCAGCCTGGTCTGGTGGTTGGTGACCCTGCACATAGCAGGGGGTTGAAACTGGATGAGCATTGTGGTCCTTTTCAACCCAGGCCATTCTATGGTCCTATAAATAAAATGCCTCCAGTACTGTAGCTTTCTAAGTTGTTAAGCATGCACAAGTAGTCTTTGTGCATCAAAATGAATTGCATGCAAAAGAAAAAGCTGTCTTGTCAAGGAAACAGCCTACTCTTCAGCACTTCTAATATTATTTTTAAGTAAAAGAATGTTGCTAATTAGAAAATCGTGTAGTAAGTGCAGTTCCCTTTAAAAATTTCTTAACACTTGAGTGTTAGTCGTTGCAAATGGAGGTTTGTATTGAAAAGATGAGCTCAGCTATGCTCTTGACAAGGTGACGCAGTTGAAAAAGTGATTTGGGATCCTTCTGTAAGAAAGGCATTGATAGAAGCTGGATATGTTATCTACAGATAACTGTATCCACAAGGTAAGGAGTGTTTCCAAGCTGCATTTGTTGCATTTTGCCTCTTCCAAGGGATTCCTGTTTCTCACCTAAAAGTGGAGGAAATCTTCGCATCCTGCATATTTGCTCTGCAGAGTTATAACTTAACTGGCAGCACCAGCATTTAAACAAGTTGTGGAGCTGAGCTGGCTGGTACTGGACAGGGGAGGCAGAAGGGCAGTAGCTACGAAGAAGTAACATTAGTAGTTCAGTATTTTGTCCTGACAGTGTTTATCTCATTTTAATGAGCTGCTTTGGGAAGAGTATTGCAGGTGACACGCTGTCTCAGTGTCAGTGCCCAGTGCCACCTGGCATTAATTGCATCTGAGCTGATTTGAGCAGTGAGCAGGGCCAGACAGTGGGGTGATAGAGCTGTTAATCTGAAGCTGCCACATTCAGAGCCTGCTGAGGCTTCAGAAGTAACCCTAGAAACTTGTGTGGGTGTGACTTCACTTCAAGGTGGGTAATGCTGGAGAAAAATCCTGATTCTTTTTAGGATGTCTTTCAATTTACACAGAATGGATGGAGGGGAAAATACTCAAATATTTGTTAAAATCAGTCAGCATAACTCTGTGTATGTGTTCATTAATACTTTTTCTCTTAAAATTGAACTGAACTTTCAGAGTGTTCTGCTCAAAACATGACCCAGGCAACAGGACCAATCACTACGGTGAGTTTCTTTTAATGGCTTCATTGATTTGTATCTGTTTTAGAGGTGTGCATACTACAGTCAGTGGCACATTTGAACAGACTGAACGTTATTCCTCCTTTCTATTGAGTGGGGAGTTTCTGATATTGCAGGAGGCAGTTGGTTGAGACCCACATGTGCACCAGAAATCAATAAGTTCTGTTGATTTAGGAAATGTTGATATTTGATCAGCTCCAGATCTCCTCCACAACTGACTGTGGACCCAACCCTTCATGGCAGGAAGGCCCAAGCAACTTGTAAAAACCTGGCATTTTGTCTGTAGCAATGTTAGAACATTCACATCTGCATCTTCTCCATTCGTTGCAGTCCTTCTTAAACGTGGCCTTTCATTCTGAAGGATCCCAAAGAGCTTTTTACATGTAGCAAAAGGGTGTGTTAAAGAATTGCTTCCTCCGCTGCAGGAGTGCAGTTGAACTTGATGGTCCTGGTGCTTGCTGCGTTTGGAGGTAGTCAGGAGTGTCTCTGAGTTAACCAGCTCTCCAGGCATGTTTTCCATGGCAGTCTGGAGAAAACTGAGTTGAGAAACATCCCCCTTGTTCTAAGTACATTCTGCATTCCTATGTGGAAATATCAGGCCCCTGCTGTGCGATGGAAAGAGGACAGGGTACCTTAAGGGCAAGAGGTTTTGCTGCTCTTTGCTGCAGGGGTGGGAGGGCAGCTTGAGCTTGGAAGTGGGCTCCAGCCTTTGCTCAGCTGGAAGTGTTGGATGTTTCTGGAGAGAAACCTGATGCACATAGAAGAGCTGAGGACAGTCTGTGAGGAGCAGAGAGGTTGGGTTGCTGTTTGGACTGCATTCCCTTGCTTTTTAGGGCAACTCCTAATGCACTGTAAAACGTATCAGGAAGGGCTGAGGAAACCCTAGTGTTCATCAAAGGTGTCCTGACAGACAGCAAGCTGTGCTTTGTGCCTATGCCAGCACTTTGTAGTGCTCCAAAATAGGCCACCCAGCTTTGTTTTGGGTGGATATGATTTCCTTTCAGGCCAGGAAAAATACAAATGTACAGCACAGAGCCCAAAAAGAGCTTGTTCTAACAGCCCTTTCTGTACCAGCAGTAACTCCTCATTCACAAGTTGATTTCTAGTAGGTTTAACACTTACTACACGCTATCCAAGGCATGTAGAGCTACAAGGGAGAGAGCCATGTCACTCCACTGTGTTTAAAGCCCTCAAGTTTTGGTGGTGGTTGTACTCTTCTCCAGCTTTCTCTCCTTCTCTGCTTATGATGCTGTGTTGGAGAGAGGCTGGTGTGGATTGATGGGAGGGACAGAGAGAAAGAAGCAGAGTTTGCAGAGATTTTTGCCACTAAAAATGCTTTGCAACTTTATCAATAAAAGCTCACCAGTAACATTGCTTCCCATTGGGAGCTCCGGAGGTTTTCTAGCAGCAAAGGAAACAATGTATTTCATGTACCTTTGGGACACCTAAAATAATTCTTTGTGTAGCCTTCGTTTTGAGCGTGTGTTAACAGTAACAAGGATTGGTTGGAAGAAAAAAGTCAGTTTTCACAGATCTAATCAGACTTTGTCTCTTGATTTCTAGATGCAGCTAATAAGAGGAAAAGACATGCATTGAAATCTTCCACCACCACGGAACAAATGGTAATTCCAAATTTAAATAGTTCTAAAACAGAAACCCACATCTGCTGCAGTAAAGGACTCCTTTAGTGAAGTATTTTTGACAGTGTGTTAAGAGAGACTCACAGGATTCTCTTGGCTCCACCAGAGCTTTCATGGGAATTTCCCTGAGTGCTGGGTGTCAGGATTTCTCCTTCCCAGAGGAGCTGGCCTGCAGCTTGGGAAGAGCTGCTGCCATCCCCAGCTCTCTGCATTAGAGGGAGCAATGTGAGGAGACATGGACGGTCTGCAGCTTTCAGCTGTACTTTCACAACTAGGTTGTTTGTCTCCAAGAATTTCTCAGCTGTTGAGTATATTGTGCAAGTGCAGTAACTGCAGTTAAGAAGGGCAGTGTCCCTCACTGTGCTTTCCTTAGTGATTTCACTTTGAAGCAGTTTCTGCTTCCCCTTTTAGAAACCTGAATGTCTGGAGAGGGGTACTGGTAGGTGTGTGGAGAAGCTGACTTGATTCACAAAATCATGAGCTGCTTTTGCCCTGCCCACTAACACAGAGGTAAGGTATGGAAAACAGAGCAGTAAACATCAGTGTGATGTTAAAATGTGTTGTTTTTTTTTTACAGAGGGCAGAAGAGACGGCAGAAGAAAACCGATTACGGATATTAAGAAGGAAAAGCAGCAGACACAAAGGTGTGACTGGCTTTATAGAACAGCTGCGTGCTACTGTGCTGTGTTGCATTGATGTTCAGTGCCTGGAGATGTTTGATAGCAGCAGTGCTGAAAACTTCCATTTCCTTTATCTACAAGTGACTGTTGTGGCAAGGAAGACAGTCTGATTTGCACAGTATCTGCACAGGTTCTAGCCATGCAGCAGTGTGCGAGAGCTGCTCGGTGCACCTTAAATGAGAATGCTGTGGTTCCCTGGGCAGGAAATGGGCTTCCTAAATATTGAGCTCCTTGCACTGTTTTCTATCCTTTATCTTGCTCAGTCTGTGGTGCTGTCCAGAGAACTTAAAAATAACTAGTGTAAAAGCACATCACCTGCTTTTCTACACTAGGGGTATTGAGCAGCTCTAGGAACGGTGAATCAGGAGTTGGGGATGCATTGATTTCTGAACAAAGCCTAATCTTGAGTTTCTGTGAACTTACACCCAGCACTGTGCTTATATTCTCTTGACCACAGAATCAGCCAGGGTTGGAAAGAACCTCAAGATCAGGAATCTCCAACCCCCTGCCACATGCAGGGCCACCAACCTCCACATTTAATACTGGATCAGGCTGCCCAGGGCCCCATCCAACCTGGCCTTGAACACCTCCAGGGATGGGGCATCCACAACCTCTCTGGGCAGCCTGTGCCGGCACCTCACTACTCTCACAGTAAAGAACTTGACCACACTGTTGTTTCCTCTGCAGAGGGCTGAGTGAGTAGCAAAGAGGAGCCAGGTGGATGTGTGTTACTAGAAGTGGGCTTTGAACTGAAGTTTCAGTTTCTGAAATGTATGGGTAAAGCCTAAGCTGCTGATCTTTTATGTTTACGAGTGTTTGTGTTTTAACAGTCCGAATCGACTTTCTCAGGAAATGCAAACAAGCAGGGCTTCTGGATGACATATTTGAAGAAATGTTGGACACCCTTCACTTGGCACAGGAAAAGCTGATGGATGACAACACTTCAGAGACAGGTACGGGGTTCTGTGGTGGCTGTTCTCACAGCAGAAATGTTGATCTGACTGCCAAGCACTTGAGTCCTCAGAACGGTGATGTGGGGCCACTGTTAGTACTTGGCAACTGGCTTCTGTCATATTTCTGCAGGTGGGCAGAGGTGTTGTGTTTTGTTTTTTTTGGCATAGAGGGAACTTGCTGCTAACTCAGTGTGCTCTGGTAGGCCTTCTGACTTTAAATTGTTGTACTCAATGTCGTGAATTTTGGTAGGACAAGCTAGGGAAGACCAGCTGTGCTCCTCTCCCACACAGTGAAGAAGAGTCCAGGAGAGAACCTCCTGATGGTCCTGTGAACTCTGCAGGCTTCCATTGAAATAAACACAAAATGCCTCAATTGGGAAATTGAAGCATAATTCTGGCGTGGTCATTAAGGCAGGGATAGATGAAAATGTTGTCCAGAATTAGATGTGCTATGGAGATGTGCTGTGTTTTCTTGGCTTTTCTTAAAACCTCAAGCAATTGCTGTAATGCAGGTAATTCCTATAATGTAAATCATTAATTAATTAATTTGTGCTGCATCTAATGTTAGGCACTACATTAAGGCTTCTGTAAACCTTTCCTCTGTGATATTATCATTCCCTGCAGAGTATGAGGAGACGGTAATATCGCTCTTTGACTGTGGACTGTTTGAGAACATACTGACAAATATTCATTCAGGTAAGTGAATTATGCTGTCAGCTGGTAGCACTTTGGTATGGTTTTAGTATAAAGGTTATTCTTCTGAGAATTTGTTAAAATAATAGAATCGTAGAGCATGCTGGCTTGAAAGGGACCTACAAGGAGCATCGAGTTCAACTCGTGGCTCTGCACAGCACCACCCAACATTCAGCCATGGATCTGGCAGCGCTGTCCAAGCGCTCCTTGAACTCCAGCAGCTCAGGGCTGTGCCCATTGCCCTGGGCAGGCCGTTCCATGCCCAGCACCTTCTGGTGCAGACCCTGTCCTTAACCCCCCGCTGCCCCTGCCCTGACACAGCTCTGTGCCATTCCGTCAGCCCCCAGTCTATTTCTAACTCTAAACATGTCAATTTCCCTACCCTTAGCAGGTCAGGAAGACCTAGTACTACTTCTCAGCATTTCTTTTGTTTTTTCCAAGCATAAAACTTAGTAGACAACCTTAGTACTTAGTGTGCCTTCAAGTATTGAAGTCGTTGCCAAAACAATTATAGAGAACAGGCCCTAAAATGGAGTGCTGCCACTGACTAAAAGCTGTTGTTTCCTAAATCACCAGGCCTGGTGCTGCAGTTAACCTCAATGCAAGGTTCTAACACTGCCTCATCTGAGGGCAGTTGGACACATTTCTGCTCATCATCCCAAGCTACACTTGCTGCACACTGCATCCTTTTCTGAGCTTACAGCAGAGATGCTGGCATTGCCACCTATGGGTATGCTGGTGAAGGCTGTCCCCCCTCCTGTTCCCCACTACTTCTGCAGCTCAGATCTTCCTCAGTCACCCTCTTCTGTTCTGATTCCATCCAAACTACTTCTACTTTCCAAGTCAATAATGAGAATGCATGTCAAAGCTGGTTCCAAACCATCAATGGATGAGTGCCAACTGTGATGGCTGACAGTAAAGAGAAGTAGAGATGAGGGGTCACAGAAGGTGCAGCACTCTAAAGGCACTGGTGTCACTAGGCAAAACTGAGCAGTAGAGGCCTCTGCAATGTGGCTGTTAATTTATAACACTAAATAGGCATTAATAACTGTTGTATCTAAAAATAAATGAATAAAAGCTTTTATCCCTTTCTTTTCCATAATAGGGACTGAGGAAAAAATTCAAGAACTGCTGGAAAGCAGGAAAAGACTGGATAACCAGATTGAGCTACTGCAGGAGTTAAAAGAAGTTTCCCTGCCCTCCCAAGAGAGTACTGCCAGTACATCCAGTACACTGTCTGAGTAACCCCACAGCTGTCAGTCATGGTGTCAGTACTCCACGTTTTCTGATGATAGGAACCATATAGAGCACATCTGGTCAGTGTGTGACTTCCTTTCCCCCAGGTCAGGGCCACAAGCAAAGACTGGATGTTTTTACTCATTTTTTTACCTCACTGTTGCAGTAACTTGAAGTTGTTACTCTTTAAATTTTACTGTGGATAATTGTATTACACTTCAGCTGTAGTTTTTTAAAGCTGAATAAAACCCTCCCCAAGGACTTTTTCCTTCAAAGACAAAGGACTATCATCAGCTGCCACTGAAAGCTTTTTCAAGTCACTTTAATTGCAGCAGCCTCTCCTGCCTGTGTGAAGTGGCCACTTCCCTGTCTGCATCTACACGGTGTTGTTTTAAGGACCACAGTGCTGCCCTGGCTTTCCAAAGAAGATCAACTAGCAGGACTTGCACTGAGAGAAGTCATTGGAATTGTAAGCTGGAGGTTTTTAGAAGTGTTTTTTGATTGATATTAGGTCTGCTGTAGCAGCAGTGCTAGAGTGATGGCTGCAGGCAGACCAGAAGTGGTGAGGTACTACACTCCAATCCATGTGTACAGTATAGAATGGATCAGACAATGGGACTGTCTTTTTGCTTTCTTTGTTAAGAAAAAAACAGAGGGAAGTTGTATCCTTTAAGAGCTATTATATTAAAATGATTTGAATACAGAAAAGCATTAATTAGAAAAGAGTAACTTAATAAAGTGTTTTTAAGAAAGCTGTCTTTAGTCATGCTCAGAAGCCCCACTGTTGCATGGGATGTGGCCTAGGAGGGGGCAGGCTGTCACCCCCTTGGGTTTACCAACACTGTGCCTCTCAGCAGCAAATAGAAGCAGCACTGAAGAGCATGGCTCTCACACTACAGAACGGCACAACAGGCTCCAGGGCCAGCCTGTGCCTCCTAAAACCAAGGCAATGCCCTTCAATGCATTAAAGTGGAGAAAGGATCATCTATGATGAGTTACTAGGAAACCAAGATGAAAATACACCATCAGTGGAAAGAAGTAAAGCTCGTTCAACTCAGGCTAATTCTTTTTCCTTCCTTATTGCAAAGATCTGAATTCCTGATGAGGGCAGCCCCAAATTGTTTCTCACCAAGCTAGACCTTTAGTCAAGATTAGTTTATAGTTTGCAGTCTAGAGCAAGTTGTGCATTAACACTGCTTTTGACACACATGGAAGTGTTTCTTCGCACAATCCTACACCGAACTCCTCCTGTCATGCTGTAGAAGATCCCTGCTCTCTACAACACTATGAAACACTGAACAGAGGTTTACCTCAAAAAGCCAATCTGCTGTTAATGTCAATCTAAACTTCAAATTTAAACTTCTCTACGCTTGGAGGCAGCACAATAACATCCTTATTGCACATGATACAAACAGTAGGTGGCACGTGGCCACTGTGAAGTTACAGCATCAGTGTTTCCTGTCTGGAAACATCAGCAACATGGACTGCAGTCACCAGGTGCTGTGCTGGTACCTACAGACAAACTTCAGGCTTTCTGAAATGGAGGTCACAGGTGCACATCAAGCACAGTCAGGTCAATAAGATTCAGTAATACATCATCTGTGAGGTTTTTTGGTTGGTTTTTTTTTTTTTTTTTTTTCCTAATCAACTTAGGTGTAGCAACATAACACAAAACTTGACATTTTCTTCAAGGAAGTTTGCTTGTAAAGAGTTATTTAAAAAAAAGAATTTTATTGCACGTAGTTTAAATTTATACAATACTTAACTGAAAAAAAATGAAACAAATGCTTTCAGAACAGTGTATTCTTTTTCCACTAGGGGAACCAATTAACTAAAGTCCAAGTGGGAAATCTTCCCATTAACTGTCATAAATATTACTTAAGCAGATTACAGAAAGTATACATTACAACTTATATTGAGTTATACCCAAATATAGAATTTGGCTTCAAACTATATCTGCTAGCAGCCCCTCTTTTCTGAGTTACCTTTGTCAGTTGCTTCTGCAAGCTCTGAGGATGCACTGGTATTGCACACTTCTCTAAGCACCGAATACACTTGGTTAATTACACGCAGCAACCAGCAATTTCACATCATGCAACTGCAACAAAAGATATCCATGCCCTTTGGCTCTTTATAACCCAGACAGCTAATGATTTAAACGACTTCATTCAGGGGCTCTGAGCCCTTAAACAGTACATTTAAAATATTAACAGGCAATGCTAGAAACAGGATTTCCTACCCTAAAAGTCCTTAACATCACCTGGTGCCTCTTGGATGCTGCAGTTTTTACTCTCTCCTTTGTGAGGAGCTCTGCTGCTAGTTCCTCCATCCAGATGTGCTAAATGCAAGTACACTGCTTGACAGTTTTACAGCAGTTCAGTTGTGAGTACATAGCACATTTTGCTGTGGCCTTGCACAGCTTCTGCTGTGAGACACCAGGTACCGCTTTTACCCGCGCAGTTACACCGACCTGTTACATCTGCAAAACATCCTACAGACGCCCGTCGCTTGCAGCCTCAACTCAGTTCTTAAAGGCTCCACATTTACTGGCTTTAGCAATGAATTCCTTCAGCAGGGGACCGTCCATTTGCCAAAATGCTGTCGTTTGTGTCACTTCGGTCAAGTGGTTAACACAGAATTTAAAGCAGAAATCCTCTAAGTCCTAAATAGAAAAAAAAGGAAAGCCTCATTATCTTTCTTCCATTACAGCAGCTTACATTCAGTAGGGCACAAATGCCTTTCTAAGCTTTACTTCTGCAGAGAACCAGACAAACTAATCCAGCACCTTTCAACCTTTTCCTCCCTCATTCCAGCATCCCTACAGAAACACATCAGAAAATGATTCTACCCTCACTAACACAGTTACGGGGACAAAACAGCCATGGTTTGGTTTTCCCTATACAGCTGAGTCACATTCCTCAGAATATCTGATTTTTTTGTGCCTTTTAAAGTTTCTTCATATGAACTGTCTATTTACATTTACTGACGCCTGTTAAAACCCAATACAAACAACAGGAATTGCTAGGATAGCAAAACATAACCAAGACTGCGGATGGAGACAATTCAGCTCTTTCAATCCATAATATGAACTCAGACCTATGTGTAAGGCTGCTCAATTTCCTGCTTAATTATATAAAGCCTTCAAGTTGCACATCACCAGGCTCAATGCAAGTGTATATCAGGCAACATTAAAGCAGGGTTTAAGCAGAAGACCTCGTGCTCATTAGAAACAGACCCAGGTTACACAGTGCTTCACAGATGACCCAAATAAAAATAAAGATACACTGTGGCACAATACAGCATTTCTTGCAGAAGTTTTGCTCTGGATATTTGAGACTGCTTGGAAGAGCCTTCCACTTAAGGATTTGAAAAGCCTCCCATTGCACCCATGTGATGTCAGAGAGAAAGGATGTCTAAAAAACAAAAGACAGCAGCTGACAACGTGATGCTGAGCACAGAAGGTTTCCCGCTCACATTGTTTGTTTCCAGCTCTCCTTTGAGGAGGAAGGAAATCAATTCCTCATGGTGCAGAGCAAAGCTGCTTTAAGGAATAAGCCACAGCCCTTCCAGAACAGCAGCTCTCCATTCTGTTCCACTTCCTTCAGTGCTTCACCAACTTCTGGAACTGTGCTTTCTACATGAGAACACACCCCTCCTCCTTAGCTCAGACTGAGTGCTGCAGCAAGGCACAGCAAGTGTGCGCAGCTCTTTAAGCCACCATAGGTATGACAGGCTGGTTATCATTCAGATTTTCACTTAAGGCCAACAGTGACAACTAGGGCAACTGTGTGCCAGCGAGTTCTTGACACAACAGTGATACAGAAATGCATCCTGGCCTAACACCAGGCTTTCTGAAGCTGCAGATCTTGACTTGTTTGGCATCTGTGCAATGAAAAAAGACAAGCTTATTAGAACTGAATACTGAGGGTTTTTTTTTGTTTTGTTTTGTTTTTTAAGAACAGAATTAACCAGCATTTCAAACAAAATTACATCATACACATCACGGTATTTTGCACTGCTTTATTAAAAATTCATATACCAAGTCAATGCAATAAGGTGTACAACAAACAGTGTTCTTTCACTATTCAGAAACTTCAGAAAATTCAAAACTCTGTATCAAAAAGTCTGAATTTCATTTGTGGATGGATGCACTCCCAGCAAGCTGTACTTAATACAGATTTAAGTGAAAAGAAAAAAAAAAAAAACCACAAGTACATCCAATGAATGTTTTAACCTTCCTCAGAAGGAAGACCTGAACTAGTTCTAGGCTCTTCATCCAGTCACTCAATCCCCAAAAGCATGGGGGAGTTTCACATCCTAAAAGCACTTTAAATTAGTGAAGTCCTTTTACCTGCTGTCTTCCAGACACACAGACCCTTGAATGAACGACATCACCCAAGCAATTTCAAACTCTGATCTACCATTACTATACATCTTTAATTATTGTTTTAAACAAGGCAGCCCTTAAGTATTGCCTACTCTCTCCTTGATGTAGCATTTGGATCAACTTGCACTTCACTTCCAGCTTCCCCTTACAGGCAGAATCAATCACTCTGAGCACCCATTCCACAACCAACCTTCTAAGGCTAAAGTACAGAAAGCTTCCTGTTTTTCATGACTTGCACTGACACAGCCTTTAATCACCACAGAACTGAAGCCATAATTCAGACTCTAAGGCAGCCCTTCACTAAGGTACATCAAACCAGCAACGCACCATAAGGCTCTGAAGTCAGTCTCTGAAGTGGCTGCGTTAGGGCATTTCATGCCTACTGACAGCTCTCAAGTTCAAGAAGCTGCACAGAATTCACTTACTGAGAACCAACTCTTTATAAATAGCAGGTGAGAAACAAACTAAACTGCAAATATGATGCATGGATACTATTTAGAGCACAAAGGACTGAAGAAAGCCCAGGGATACTTCCTGATTACATGACAAAGCTGCATACCAGCGATGTCCTAATGCAGACATTCTGCAGGATGTTTTACTGGCCTTCCTCCTTTTTCACATGCTGTTCCTCAGTCTTCAAAATTAATTAGGTTCATAAAGCAGCTGCAATCTTGCCATTTCATAAGCATAATTTAAAGAAAGTGTATTTGACTGCAGTTAAAATAACTCAAAATAAACCACTCCTCAGATCCTACCACCACATGATATCACGTGTAACCCACAACCTTACAAGACCTACAAGAGTTTCTTTCCATAATGCAATTTTTGCTTTGTTTTTAAGCCCTTCTCTCATTTGAGAGTTAGTCTTTATCTTTTCTTTTTGGAGGCTTTTTTCCTCCCACAGAAACAATAATTCATGAAAACTGTTCTAGACTTTCACCATGAGCTAAGCAATGCAAAC